TGTAACTAAATGGCAAACATTTAGCCGGTTTGGTGGGCACTGCCTGTAGTCCCAGCTACTTGGGGAAGCTGAGGCAGGGAGAATCGCTTGACCAGGGAGACAGAGGTTTCAGTGAGCCAAGATCACGCTACTGCACTCCAGCCTGGGCAGGCAGAGTGGAGACTCCATCTCAAAAAAAAAAAAAAAAAAAAAGATGGAGGGGACCCACCAGTTCCCCACTGTGATGAAGATGAAAAGAGCCTCCATCCATCCTCTCATTCAGCAAATTCACGGCTGGGGTACTGCTCCATGCCAGCCCTGGGCTGGTGCTGGGGAGCAGTGAGCAAGACCAAGTCCTGCCCTCACAGAGCTGGCCTTTTTCTAATGAAGGGACACAACAAGAGGAAGGAGGAGAAAGTGTGGCTGGAGGGCTGCCGTTCTGCCGTGGGTAAAGCGAGGCAGTGCAGACAGGGCCGCTCCTCTCTTGGGCGCAGGGACACTGCAAGCAGGGACCCAGTGAGTGGAGTTAGAAGCGAAAGCAACGCAGTCCAGGTGAGGACACAGCCAATGGCAAGGCCTTGAGGCAGTTGGGTTCAGTTTTCCTGTGTTGGTGTTTCCGTGCCGTAAACCAAAGTGCCACAAACTGGGCCGAGACGGGGTGGACTCACGCCTGTAAGCCGATAACTTTTGGTGCCGTTAAGGCTTGGAGGATCACTGTGAGGGGTCAAGGAGGTTTGAGGGGGGACCAGCACTGGCCAACATTAAAACACCAGAAATTTACTCTCTTATTGTTGTAGAGCCAGAAGACCCCTCCCTTGCCTTTTCCAGCTGCTGGTGGCCCCAGACTTCCCTGGGTTTTGGCTGCATCGCCGTAACCCCGGGCTCAGTCTTCAAGTGGCCTCGTCCTCCCACTGTGTGCCTCCACTCTGTGTCTCTCCTAAGGACACTTGTCAATGGATTTAGGGCACACCCGGGTAATCCAGGATGACCCTGTCTCAAGATCTTTAATGTAATTACATCTGCAAGACCCTTTCTCCAAATAAGGTCCCACTAACAGGGGGCAGAGATTAGGACATGAACACATCTTTTGGGGGCTGCCTTCAACCCAGCACAGGCAGGAACAGGCTTGGTGTGTTTGAGGCCTGTGTGGCTGGAGCTCAGTGGGCCTCCCAGGAGCAGTGGGGAGGGATGAGGGTGGCAGGGCCAGGGACAGTCATATAGGGCTCAGAGGGCATGACAAGAAGTGCAAGGGCTCAGACACAACAGGAGCTGTCACCGTAGCTGACATGCACTGTACATGTGCTATGTACCGGGCCCTGGGCATGACCCACCCTCCCAGGATCACTGTATTGTTTCCATTTTACAGATGAGGAAACTGAGGCCAGGTTGTGAGGTCATTTCTGCCAGTCACAGAGTTGGGGGTGAGGCCTGGCACCCAGGCTGTCACCACTAGCTGAGGCCCCCTCCCGACGGCTTGGGTCCCTTTCAGCCCTGGACCTTGAGGGAGGGGACCACAAATGCTGAGTCCTCCTCTCCACCCCAGGGGACCTGGGAAAGGCCAAGGGTTCTTTTGCAGAGCTTCCGGTTCCCCGGCAGGAGAGGGAATGCTGCACGTGCGTGATTTCCAGGTTGGAAGGATACTTTGTAAACCTTTTCAATACAGCTCCCGCTAGGCTTAGGGCCCAGGGAGGTGTGTCTGCAGGGCCCCCGGACACATCTCTTTGAAATGCAAACATAAAGCTAGCACCCCTAGCTCCCTGCCTTCCTGGGAGCTTAGCCTAGGTCCCGGCTCCAAGCCCTAACTGCCAAGAGAAAGTTTTCATTTTCCTTTGGATACAGGCAACTCACTAGCACAGAATGGCCACACTGTTGACAGGTGCACTCACGATGGATGAGAACATGCAGCAGGGCATCTTGAGATGGCATCTGCCTGACTAGATCAAAGGGTAGCTGACATGCACTGTGCAAAGGATGAGGTTTCCTTCTCGGCCTGTGGTGCCCATTGCAGCTGAGCTCACCTTTGCCTTCTTTCCCCCATTGTGGAGAGGGCTCTCCAGGCTGGCAGGACCTCCAGTCTTCCCAGTACACGCAGGGATGGAGCGCCCAGGGTCCAGAGGTGGGAGGGGCTGAGCGGAGGCCATGGATCCCGGGCCTGGAGTGAGGATCGGCATCCAGCTACCTGGAATGAGCTGGGCCTGTGGAGGTACCTGGGTAACTGACAACCCAGGAGGCTGGGGCTTCCGCTGGGACTGTGGCGACTGTCACATCTCACGCCACTTAAGGGGTTGCCGCTGCTTCTACAAATCCAGCTAGAAACAAGAAGATGGAAATTGGGAGGATGCTGGCCAGCAAACAAGAAGTGAGGAGCAGGGGCAGAGGACAGACAGGTCAGCCCTTGACTGAAGAAGGCCTCCCAGAGGAGGTAAAAGCCCATCTCCACCTCAGGAGAGCTAGCTGAGCTCCACTCCAGACCAGATTGTCAGGGAACTGGGCTTTGCCTGGCAAACATTCCCAAACTCCCAGGACAACAGCAGCATCTCAGAAGCTTCCAAACAGAAAGAACCAGCAATAGCAGAAACGGATCAGAGTGGACCAGCTTCCCTGTGCAACTCTGGCAGCCCGCAGATCCTCATCCCAGCCAAACACCACTCACCCAGCAGGGAAGGAAAGTAAGAATCCTTGTGACCAAGCAGGTTAGCTTCAAAATGCATTTTGAAACTTCTTTCCTTTCTTGCTTTCAGCCTTAACATACTTTGAAACTCCTTGTTTCCCTCCCTTTCCACCAGACACTCCCTTGCACTGCTCACTTACCTAATTTTGTGCTTGCTTAGTAGTGCCAGGGGGCTAATCTTGAGAAAAACCGAGCATGGAAATCCAGCTGTGAAATTCCAGGTGGTCAGTCTACAACCTGGCCATTGTAGAGATGATGCTAGCCTGTGCTCCCGGTGGACCATGACTCAAGATAGCCAAGGAAACAAGGCACACAGACCTTGTGCCCAGTGCCCCACCTGCATGTCTCCCATTCCAGGCTCCCTTTTACCCCTCTCACCCGCATAAAGTTTGAGATGGTTCCTTTGAGGCTTGAGCCTGGCCAGCCTGGCCATTCTCCCACCTGCTAGCACTCAAGTAAAAGCTGCTTTCGGCCAGAAGTGGTGGCTCACGCCTGTAATCACAGGACTTTGGGAGGCCAAGGTGGGTGGGTCACTTGAGGTCAGGAGTTTGAGGCCAGCCTATCCAACATGGCAAAACCCTGTCTCTACAAAAAATACAAAAATTAGCCAGGCATGGTAGCGCGTGCCTATAATCCTAGCTACTCAGGAGGCTGAGGAAGGAGAATTGCCTGAACCCAGGAGGCGGAGGTTGCAGTGAGCCAAGATTGTGCTACTGCACTCCAGCCTGGATGACGAACAGATTCTGAAAAAAAAAAAAAAAAAAGCTGCTTTCACCACACCTTGCTGCTTGTATTCTGGTTCTCCAAACAGCCAAGCGGCCAGACTTGAGTCGGTTACATTCTGCAACATCTGCTCACTGCCAAGTGCAAGACCAAACAACCCTGCAACAGAGGCAGAGGCCTCAGAGAGGAGAGGGTGGGTGGGCGCACCCTTGCCAAGTGTGCAGTTGAAATGAGTGACGACAGGGAAGCTGGCTGGGCTGTCTGTAAGTATCAAGTATAGATTCGTGGGTGTTAGCGCACAAGGAAAAATTCCAGAGCAACAAGACCAGACCATGCAATAGTGATGGGGAAGGTTTATGCATCAACCTGGCCAGTCTACAGTACCCAGTTTTGTCAAACACCTAGTCTAGATGTGGCTGTGAGGGTGTTTTTAAATAATTAGCAATCTAAATGAGAAGAGTGAGTATCAGCAGATTGTTCTCCATTGCTGGTGGTGGGCTTCATCCAATCAGTTGAAGGACTAAAGAGAAAATGACTGAGGTACCCAAAGAGAAGGAATTCTGGCTCCAACTCAAGCCTTTGGACTCAAACTAAACTCTTCCCTGAGTCTCCAGTGACTTGACAACCTCTATGTCATGTGACCTGATTCCTTAAAATTCTCTCTCTCTCTCTACACACACACACACCACACCACACGCACACGCACACGATATGATATATGTATTTATATACGTGGCATGGATAGATGGTATTTTGGTGGGGTGGTTTTTGGATTTTTTTTTTTTTTTTTTTTGAGACCGTCTTGCTCTGTCGCCCAGGCTCACCACCACACCCGGCCAATTTTTGTTATGTTTAGTAAAAGACAGGGTTTCACCATGTTGACCAGGCTGGTCTCGAACTCCTAGCCTCAGTGATTGCCTGCCTCAGCCTCCCAAAGTGCTGGGATTACAGGCATCGAGCCACCGTGCCTGGCTATTATATGTATCATGTATTTCCATCGTATATATGTGTCATGTGTATATGTATGTTAGAGCTCTATACAGTCATAATGCAGTAAGCACAAACACACAGCAACTAAATGCATAAAGAAAAATGACTAGACATGAAGGAAGACTTCAAGAAAATGCAGATTAACAATGGAACGTTCTAATTATATTGTCATTAATCAGACAGATACAAGTCAACAAAAAACAAGTAAAAATGTAAAGGAAATTGAATAGTACAATTGTCAAACCAGATTTTAGAGAGTATATTAGAAAAGCTGTTTCAGAGTCTGTAACATTTTTTACATATTTATGTATTCAGCCTCTGTATCCATTGAATTGTGTCTGCCTCCCTCCTCTCCCACTCGAAAAAAAAAATATTACAGCCCAAACCCCCGGTACCTCAGAATGGAACCTTATTTGGGGATCTTCACAGAGGTAATCAAGTTAAAATGAGGTCATTAGGGTGGGCTGTAATCCAATATGACTGTGTCATTATAAAAAGAAGAAATGTGGACACAGCGCCTTCTATGCAGGGAGAAAGAGGGCTGTGTGAAGATGAAGGCAGAGATTGGGGAGAGGCTGCCACAAATCAAGGAACACCAAAGATGGCCAGCAAAGTCCTGGAAGCTGGGGAAAGACCTGGAATAGATTCTCCCTCACAGCCCCCAGGAGGAACCCTGCCCTGCCAACACCTCGATCTCTGACTTCTGGCCTCCAGAACTGAGAAACAGTCCATTTCTGCTGTTGAAGCCCCCTAGCTTATGGAACTTTGTTATGGCATCCCTAGAGAACTCAAGCAGCCCCCAAACTACCTTAATTCGAAAAGGTGATATTTTAAGCAACACATCCTCAGATTATTATCCAATAGAACTAAAATACACAATAAAACATGATTGGCTGGGTGTGGTAGCTCATGCCTGTAATCCCAGCCCTTTGGGAGGCCGAGGAGGGTTGATCACTTGAGCTCAGGAATTCAAGACCAGAGGGCAACATGGCAAAGCCCCATCTCTACAATAAATAACAAAAATTGGCAGGCTGTGGTGGCGCATGCCTGTAGTCCCAGCTACTTGGGAGGCTGCGGTGGAAAGATCCTTTGAGCCCAGGAGGCAGAAGTTGCAGTGAGCCAAGATCGCAACAGTGCACTCCAGCCTGGGTGACAATGAGACCCTGTCTCAAAAAAAAAAAAAAAAAAAAAAAACCATGAAATCATAATTACTCAGAAATTAAGATAAACTGCACTATATAAGCATGAAATCAAGAAGGGAATGGAAAGCAAAATTACAGTCTATCCCTAAAGCAAAGCAAAGAAGAATGTTTAATAGCAAACCTATAGGACACAGTAAAATCTGCATTTAGCGATAATAAAGTGTCAAGGTTATTGACAGATACAATTTCAACACCAAATACATCACTGGCCATAATGTTTAGGGTACAGATTGAATACACACTTTAATTTGAAATACCCAAATCACTCAAAAGATACTAATACATCAAAGTTTTAAAAGATTCAGCTGGGCGCGGTGGCTCATGCCTGTAATCCCAGCACTTTGGGAGGCCAAGGTGGGTGGATCACCTGAGGTCAGGTCGAGACCAGCCTGGCTAACATGGCAAAACCCTGTCTCTACTAAAACTACAAAAATTAGCTGGGCATGGTGGCATGCACCTGTAATCCCAGCTACTCGAGAGGCTGAGGCAAGAGAATCGCTTGAACCCAGGAGGCAGAGATTGCAGTGAGTCAAGATTGTGCCATTGCATTCCAGCCTGGGTGACCAGAGGGAAACTCCATCTCAGAAAAAAAAAAAAAAAAGACTGGACACTTCTCTTTAAACATATAATTACCTTTAAAAACTATCTATCTGTAGCTTTGGAATATGAAAGTATGAAATTGTATTCACCCAGCCAATGCTATGCCCACATATACTGCTGCTCCCTATTGAAATAGGAATGTAGTCAGTGGGTGGTATTTGTAATTTTAAAAGTTCTACACATGGAAAACAATTTGGCTCTTCTAACAGGCATAGAAAGCAGCTCTCTTCCTCACCACGCAGAGATCTGCCAGGCTGATGGACAACTGGATACCCCCAGAGGATATATTTTGAATGACCTTATCCAGTGACCCATGGGTGTCATTTAACACATGAGGCTCCCTGGAGCAGGAACTGACATGCCTGCTTCCAGAGCTTTTCAGCCCTGAACGTGCACTCCAAAAGCATAAAAGTGGCACTAGCGCCATTGTAAGAGCTCCCTCATGTGTCAGCCAATGCAAATTCAGACCATCATATCCTTTTAGAAAACCTATGGAGAAACTGCGTTTCTCTTACAAGTTAGTTCCCATATCAAAAAGAATGCCACAGGGTGTGTCTGTAAAGTAAGAAACCCACACTCACTGCCAGCTGCCGTCACCTCAGTTTCTCATTCTTCCTCGGCATCTTCTTCATTGTCTTCCTCTTCAGCCTCCGGATACTCCTCTCCCCAGCCTCCCTCAGCCTGGTCTTCCATTTCTGCCTCTTCGGTGATGGGCCAGGTAAATGAAGCTCCTGAGGATCAATATCTGTACACTCTTGACTTTCTGAAATCTTAAAGAAATTATCAGAAACTGTATTAAATTTATTTTTGAAAAGTTTTCAAAACTTCATAAAACCTTAACTTTTCTATCATGGAAGATATTGCTGATATCAATAATAACACACCAATTTTACTCCAAAAACCCAAAAGATATACTGGATAAATTGTAAAGATTAAAAAAAAAAGTCCATGCACAAAATATATACACAGACACACATATGCTGTCTTCCTCAGTATTTTGATTGAAATGCCGTGCTGTAAATGGATTCATGTCTATGCTACAACTTAAAATAATTTATGTTCAGCATGATACCAAGTATAAAAGGCAATTAAAGGACATGATTTTGATTCCAAAAAATAATCTACATTTAGAAGGAAATTGCAGCCTTTGAGTGCCTTAGTTGTTCAAGAAGGAAGATGGCAAAGGTTGGTTTTTATCTCAGGAAATTTTAAAAAGAGAATGAAAACTAAACCAAAAGAAAATAGCCAAATGGAATTAATAAAGAAAAAACTAATATGAATGAAGCAAAAAATTAAAAATGGAGGAAAACATGAGTCAAAATCTATTTTTTTATTTGAAAAAGACCAATGAAATGTATAAATCTCTTACAATCCTTGTTGAGTACCAAGAAAACTATACATGATGAGGAAATGAGAGAGGAGACATCACTACAGAGACTGAACAAATGAAAAGAATTATGTCAATCCACTTAAAACCCTAGAGGGAACTGACTATGAAGACTCCTAAACCACCAAGGTGTTTATGATTTTTTAAAAGCATCACCTAGTGAGATCCCACTTATGCCAAATCATAAGTGAATGTGTGGGAGTGTCATGTATGTGTCACAGGAGTGTGTGTGGTACAACTGTAAATGTGTGTGTGTGCATGTATAGATTGTGGGGGTGGGGGTATGTGATGTGTGGGGGGGTGTATGTGTATGTGGTGGAGGGAGTGGGGACTTGCATGTGTACCCCCAAAATTCATGTTAAAACTGAATAACCAAGGTGACAGTAGTAGGAGATGGGGCATTTAGAAGGTGAGTAGGTCACGAGGGCTGCACCACCATGAATGAGATTAGTGCCCTTACAGGAGACCCTGTGAGCCAGCTTGTCCTTTCCACAATTCGAGGAACCAGCCCTCGCCAGACTCTGAACCTGCTGGTGCCTTGATCATGGCCTTCCCAGACTCCAGAACTGTGAGCAATAACTGTTTGTTGTTTATAAGCCACCCAGTCTAAAGTATTTTTGTTATAGCAGCCCATAGGGACTAAGACAAAATGCAAGTAACACTTCCCAGGTCCTTGTCCCAGCTGAATCCCTTAGAAGAGGTTGATGGTCAAGAGACATTAAATGGCAAATACAAGTCTAGAATGGATTGACAGTGTGTACAAGTGTGTGTGCGAGTGTCTGAGTGTATGTGCAAGTGTATGTACATGCGTGTGGTGTGTGCAACTGTGTGCAGGTGTGTGAGTGTGCTAATGTGTGCGAGTGTGTGTGGGTGTACGAATGTGTGCAAGTATGTGTGCAGGTGTGTGCATGTGTGTGTGCACAAGTGTTTGGGGGTGTATGTGCTCAGGTGTGTGAGTGCTTGAGTGTGGTTGTGAGTGTATGGGTGTGTGGACAAGTGTGTGGGTGTGTGCAAGAGTGTGTGTGTGTGCACGCAGGTGTGCACACGTGGTAATGTGTGTGTGCAAGTGTGCAGATGTATACGAGTGTGTGTTCACAGGTGTGTGAGTGTGTGCAGGTGTGTGCAACACGTGTGTGCACAAGTGTGTGCGTGTATGTATGTGTGAGGGTGTGTGTGCAAGTGTGTCTGCATGCGGGCAAGTGTGTGAGTGTGCACATCTGTGAGTGGGAGGTGTGTTCACAAGCTGAGCTGCAGGAAAGCAGTGTCCCCACAATGCTGATACTGTTTCTGGAGGTCCCCTACATGAAACCTCTGCAGCTGACAATCATCAATGCTGCTTGAATTCTTTGCAACAGGCAGGGGGCGGATATCATTTACAAGAAATGCAGACATCCTGCTGTGTTCCCGTGGCACTCCCCAACCTTCTGCTGCGGCTTTCAATGTGCTCCTCACATTGTCTTCTGCACAAAGACAAGCTGGAAATGCTATGGCCTTTGATTTTAGTATTCATCCCTCTCCATAGTGAACTCCATTTTCAATAGGCTTATGTCACATGTCCCCCAGGCACACTTCTGTGATCACCACTGTCTCCCCACTGGCAGACACCCCTGGTGGCCTCATGTGGCTCATCAGTCAGTGACGCAGCTTGACGAGGGGCAGGCAGCTGGCCAGGGGCAAGCTGGAGCAGTGGAGTCGGTTCACTGTTGGCTCCGCAGCATCACCGTGAGTCCCATGAAAATGAGCTCGCACATTGGGAGCTCACTTCTCCCTGCTGAGTAGTATTCCGTGGTGTGGATGCACTGCGGCTTGTCCAACCACTCACCTGATGAACATTTGGGCTGTTTCCTGTTTGGGGCTATTATGAAAAAGCTGCTGTGAACATTGGAGTATGAGTCTTTGTATGGTTACATCAACCCCTTTGTCTTGAGTAAATATCTAGGAGTGGAATTGTTGGCTGATGTGGTAGGTGCATGTTTAACATTTTCAGACACTGCCGAAGTGTCTTCCCAAGTGGCTGCCCCATTTTCCCTTCCCACCAGAAACGCACAGGTACCCCCGGTGCTCCACATCTCCTCCGTGTGAAACCAACACTTGGTGTGGTCAGTAGTTTTTGTTTTACCCATTCTAATAGATGTTAAACGTCCAGGAATTTTGAGAGCTAAACAAACAATATCATCATTAAAAGTTAAATTATGTAAACTGATAAATTATATGAAAAACAAAGGAGATACTCAAAACTCACATCTTCATGATTCGAGCATGCTTTACTGTTGCTGTGTGTTGACATCTGTCAGATGTGTGTGGTGGAAATCCTGGAATCTCTTCCCAAGGTCACCTTCAGTGACTTCATGTTGGTAGCTCAAGACTGGCCAAGTGGAAGTATTACACCACAGAGCTCGGCATGCCACGGCATGCCAGGGCTTGATGTATTACTGCTTTGTTGATTGCCTAGACTTTAGAAAGCGATGAGAAAAATGCTAACATTGCAGATTAAACTGAAGAACGCTGGGTCTGTGGTCATTACATTATAAATAGAAAAAAAAAAGAAAAAAACATTTCTGGTATTTGAAAACTATCATCCAATTAAGCAAAGAAGGTGCTCATCTTAGCTGCTTCAAGTTTATCTTATTAAAATAAATGAAAACATCAGCCAACATATATGTGGGAACCACCCCTGTCCATCCGTTGCAATCAAGTACTGGATACAGATACAAGAACTCAGTAAAAGTCAATGGAGGTATTTTGTGAGTATCGATTGGCCATGTGGAATTTACAGTGAAGAGTATATTGTATATTTTGTTGCATTTTTTATATATTGTGGATTTTATTATTTGTAAATTGTGTGTTCATGTATATGTATGCATGTGCCTGTGTGTATATAGAGAAAGAGACAGGGAAGGAAGGGAGAGAGATCCATGCCTACATACATACGTGTACATTTCCTTTCCTGGAAAGCTGGTTGTTAACCATTTATAAGCACATTGCTGCTTTGAGGCAGCAGAGAGGCAGGTCACAGCCTGTCTGTGAAGCATGGTATGCAAGACGCCTGGCCTAGCCAATCCCAACATGGACTTGGGGAGGGCACCTGAGGCCAGGCCACCGTGAGGCCAGGGGAGCCCAGAGTGATGAGAGAGAGGCACCTCAGCTCAAGACAGGTGAGAGGGCCCAAAACCAGAGATCCCTCCACAGAGGCAGCAGCAGCCAAAATCAGGCTGTCACCTGCCTGCCTGTCCCATCCCGGGATTGAGACTCTTCTAGCATGCCCAATGAGAAGGGCCCCACCTGGTGTCACCTACCTAGCAAGTCAGTGGCAAGACTGGGCTTTTTCTCCTGTTTTTTGATCTGGAGGGGGGTCTCACTGTCGCCCAGGCTGGAGTGCAGTGGTGCCATCATGGCTCACTGCAGCCTCACCTTCCCAGGCTCAAGTGATCCACTGGCCCTCGACCTCCTGAGTAGCTGGGACTACAGATGTGTGCCTCCACTCCTAATTTTTCTTTTTAATTTTTGTAGAGATAGGTTCTTGCTATGTTGCCCAGGTCAGTCTCAAACTCCTGGGCTCAAGCAATCCGCCTGCCTTGGCCTCCCAAAGTGCTGGGATTATAGGCGTGAGCCACCGCGCCCAACAGGCCAGGGTTTTAAGGGTACCACCTGCTGGATTCGGCTGCACAGCTGGAGCCTGGCCAGTCAGATAAACAGAAGCAGGCCCTGTCTGGGCACCAGCAGATCTGGGAGCTCAGTGTCCCCTACTCCAGCTTCTGTAGGGCCAGCCCAGGCCTTGCGATACTCTCCCGGGTGGATGCTCTCCTCGGGAAGCTTGGCTGTGACAAGATCTTCTGGTTACAAACCACATTCCCAAACTAGCCCCTGTGGGGCTTCCCCAGACTGTGCCCCTCCCCTTCCCCTTGGCCAGGCCCATGGCTCTCCCTCCCTCCACCAAAGCCCTCCACGCTCTGCTTCTGCCTGCCTTGCCATCACTCTCCTCTCTCTTGTTTGGCCCATTCTCCATGCAGCAACCTGATGTGGTTTGGACGTTCGTCACCTCCAAATCTCAGGTTGAAATGCAACCCCCAATGTTGGAGGTGGGGCCTTGGTGGGAGGCGTTTGGGTCATGGGGTTGGATCCCTCATGAATGGCTTGGTACTGTCCTCACCTCCGGAAGGATTTGAATTCTCACTGTGAGTTCACCTCCTCTGCCTCTCTTGCTCCCCCTTTGCCTTCTGCCGTAAGTGGAAGCTTCCTGAGGCCCCACCAGTAACAGATGCCGGCGCTGCTGAGCCAAAACAAACCCGCTGTCTTTGTAAATGACCCAGCCTCAAGTATTTCTTCACAGCAACTTGCGAACGGCTCAGCACGCGGCCCAAGCAGCATATGGCAGAATCCTACACCAGACTTTGCCCCTCTCCTGCTCATGACCCTCCACGGTTCCCCGCTGCCCTCAGGGTCAGGCCTGGCCCGGGCCACAAGGAAGGTCTGAGGTGGTCACTGCCTGTGCTCTGGCCTCACCATCCTACCACCATGCACGCTGCAGTGGCTCCAGTCATTCTGACCTACTTAGGGCTTCCCGGATTGTCCAGCTGGCTGGAGGCTCAGGCTTTGCTCGTGTGAGTCACTCTCAGGCGTGGCCACCCCACCCCTTCTTACCTGACCCGGCGTTGGTGACAGGTCTCTCCCCACCCATGAGGCCTCTCGCAAGACTGGGAGTGCCTCAGGGTGGGGCCCCTGAAGTAGGTTAGCAGGGAACCCAAAGTGCAGTGTGGTGGGCAGAAGCTGCCCTCCCACCGAGCGGCCTCCTGGCCCTAGGGGGACATGGGGTGCTAGATAGGCTCCCTTCCAGTGTCACCCTCACAGCACCAGCCACCCCACCTCTGCTCCATGCACCCTCAGAGCCCTCAGCATGTATATGTGCATGCCCGCATGTGGGGGCACCTCCCTTTTCCCCAGCACCCTGTTTCTTAACACTTCACCCTGTTACTACTTCACAGAGCAGGGACAGACACTCCAGGTCCCACGGCGGGTGAGCACTGCAGCTGAGCTTTGTGCCCAGGCAGGTGGCCGGCTCTGTGGGCTGAAGTCCCTACTCATGGCTTCTTTGGGCCTCTGGGATGACAATGCAGCCCACAGCCGCACTCAGCCCACAGCCGCAACCCATCAGCCCTCACACCAACCCAAGAGCTTGACATCTCTCCACCCAGCCACCCGCGGACCTCACCGCGGGAAGAGGCCATAGGGAGGCAGCCCTGGAGGTCTTGTGCTGGCCCCTGGCATGGCTCACCGCCTGGCCCTGCTCAGCAGTGGGTCAAGGGAGTCCAGCCCCTAGTATCTGGCCAGTGAGTCAGAGGGTGAGTAGTTGGCAATGTTTATTGGGAAACAGCAAACTCTGCTGGGCATACAGGCTGGCTGGGAGAGCACGGCCCTGGAAGCGGGGACTGGAGAGGAATCCAGGGCTCTGTGGCTGGTCAGGCAGCCAGGGAAGGCCTGGCAGGTGCATGGACCTGAGGCTGCCCAGATATGAGGAGCCAGGGTTGGTAGAGGCCGGCTGAATGGTGGAGACTGGCGCTGCCTGTGGCACAGGAGGTGGCCCTGGTGCTCAGGACTCCAGGCTGGGGTCATCGGGTGGCAAGTACATGGGCTCGATGTGGGCCCACCCGCGGGCCTGCTCATCTGCCCAGGCGAGCAGCTCTGCGGCGCGGTGCAGGAAGATCAGGAGCAGAGTGTGCACATCGCCCTCCGCTGAGTGGGCCGCGCTTGGCTCTGCCTGGAAGTAGCGGTGGAAGAGGCTGCCAAGGCTGTAACCCTGGCGGCCTCGGGCCCGGGTGCCGTGGCTGTGGGCGCGGTCGAGGCCCCGCAGGGCCAGCAGTGTGTCCAGGCAGACAGTGTCCCGAGGTAGGTGGGCACCCAGGCGCCGCAGCTCGGCACACAGCAGGGGGAAATCATAATCAAAGCCATTGTGGGCCACAAGGCAGACGGGCCCTGCCTGGCGGCTCAGGAACGCCTGTAGCATCCGCACCACGGCACCATCAAAGCCAGCCTTCCGGCACCGCGCCAGGCCCTCGCTGCTCAGGCCAGTGATCTCGCTGGCCTTGGCGGTGAAGGGGCGCTCTGGGCACATGCACAGCGTGAGCTTGTCCAGGACCCGGGGCAGTACTGGGGCACCAGATTCGTCGCGCTCCAGGTTCTCCAGGGAGGAGCGGTGGACAGCAAAGAGGGACAGTTCAGCAATCTCAGGATCCATGCTGGGGAGCCCAGTAGCTTCCAGGTCCAGGAAGACAAAGGTCTCAGCCCGGGGTGTCTCTGACATGGTGATGTTCCCACGGGGATAGCCAGGCCTCAAACTGCCAGAGCGAGAGGCACAAACTCTGAGGACTGAAGAGAGGGGTTCGCCCAGGCCCTGCTGTGTACCACCCTCCCCCTAGCCAAAGCTCTGACCCTTCTGGGGCTCACTTCCTGCCACCCCCAACCACAGCGCCTGTGACCTTTGGCTCTGGGAGCATCAGCCCCACTCCTGCCACCTACCGAACAGAAAAGGCAGGCCTCCAAGCGCTCTACTGCCTGCCTCCAGCCACAGTCCCCAGCAGGGATTGGGAGAGGCAGAGGCAGCTCAGGGACCACGCCTCGGCGGGGTCCAGCCCCTTCACCGGAATGCCTTGGCTGGGAACCTGGGGCATAGCATGCTGGGTCTCAAGCCCTGGAACCAGCTGCGGGAAAGCAGGCAAGCAGCCACCCAAAAGAGCCCCTGCAGTGCGCTCAGCTCCCCCTGGGCTCGACCTCCCCGGCCTTGTCCCTGGCACACAGGTGCTGGCCCCGAGCTGGCCTCTGCCTGCTTGCCCCCAGGTTCCTGGGGCGACTGTCCTTGCCAACCCCACCGCACCAGCTTACCTGGGGCGGGCACTGACCGGCTTCCTGGGCTTCTGGGCACCTGTCGCCACATAGGCTGCTCCAGGCGGCCTTTAATCAGCGGCCGCGGCCCGCCCCCAGCTGCCTGTTGGCCAACAATGAGGCCTGGGGCCGCAGGACCTGCGCAGCCAGCTCGCTCTCCGCCCCCTCGCTAGCTCACAGCCACTGGGACACACGCCCTGTGTTTACAGATTAGGAAGCAGGCCCCGGGACGCACGCAGACTCCAGGAGCTCTTCACAGGCACAGGGAGGAAGCCAGAGCGGTGCAGAAGGCAGTAACCTCCACCCAGCCAGGCTGTGGCTGCCAGGCCTGACAGGCCTGGGGCCAATGCCTCCCTCATGCTGGGGCCAGTCACACAAAGGCAGCAGGTCCTCTCTGCCAGGCCTCAGTCTCCCGTCACTGGAGATCAGGTGCTGCTCATGGGGATGAAGCAAGCTCTGGAGTGTGAACAAGGTGCCCACACATGCCGTGCTCAGCCTCCAAAGGGGAATGGGGTGCTCCCCCAAAACCTAGGGATGGGGCAGCCTCGGGGCTGCCCACGCACCGCCCACCCCGGCTCACACAGCTTGCCGGCTCATTTCCCACTGCGAAGGGGAGATGCTGCTTTAAGGACGTCGCTCCATCACGTCTACCGTGCACCTAACAGCGGCTGCTGGGGAAGGGAGATGAGCCTGGCCTGGGAGCTGTGCAGCTGAGTTAATGCTTCCCCCACCAGAGACAAGCAATGTTAGGGGATGGGCCAGGAGCACCGGGACTACAGGAGGAGTGAAGCCCAGTCCTGCAGACCCCAGTCTCGGGGACCCACCCTGCCCACCCCACTCCAGGCAAAAGGCACCAGGTCCTTCCCGGTCCTGGGAGGAGTGGTGCCCTGAAGACATTCTGGAGCAAACCCTCGGTGGTGGGTGCACTGCAGGGCCAGCCCCCTGCTGGGGGCACAGAGAGGTGACCAAGAGGAGTCCCTTGGCCTGTAAATCAGGTGGTGCACATGGACCGTGGTGACCACAGGCCTGCCTGGCCTCCCACCTCTCACAGCAGTGGCTGGGGGATGCCTCAGGCGACTGGGATGGAGGGGTCTGGCACCTGGCTCCTTCTGGCCTCCTTGTCTTGTGTGCCCACGGGGTCCTTGGGGAAGCAAAGGAGATGGTACCAGGAGGGAGCAGGGTGGGGCGGGCAGCAGCAGGTGCAACAATGGCCCCAAAGAGGCAGAGGCCCCACTAGTTGTGCCTGTTCTAGTGCTCGCAGGGAGGGAGGCAGCTGTGACAGGCACACTGCTCAGGGAGATACTGGGTCACCCTGGGAAACCCAGACAGCATCTTCCTGGACAACCAGTCAGGCTGAATTCCCCAGCCCAGAGCTGAGTGCCCAGCCAGGGAGGAGCAGGAAGCAGGTACCCCGCGTGGGATCCAGGAGCACTCAAGGAGGGCGGCTGAGGGGTATGTCTCACACAGGACCCTGAGGCCAGCCAGGGGAGGC